TCTCAAAAACATAAATAAGTTGTGTAGGAAAGACCATTTAAATAATGAGTACTAATAGTAGTAATAAGTACGTTATTACTTTGTTCTGTTGGATATATAATCAATACAGGGGCATAAGAAGCAGGGGCGCGCGCACTCGCCACAGAGGCGTAGCCAGGATTTTTGGTCAGGGGGGGGGCAGCAAAAACCCAGGTGGGGCCAAAAAAAATTTCCGGACGACAACATCTTAAATCTCTCCCCCCCCCCCCCCGTCGACATCGTTTTGGTAAAAAAAAATTGCCGGACATCGCAATTGCTTTTGTACCACTTTTCCCGATTTCCATATCACTTTTTCCGATGCTTCACCACAAAGATTCCGACAACATTGACAATTTTCTTACGGGTCTCAACTTGAAGCTATATAATCAAGGATTCCCTTTTTTATTGCTGCGTAGCGAGCGAGCCTGAAGCGAGCGGCAGAGAGGGGGTTTTTATGGGCGGCCGTTACCACCAAAAATACTACACGTGTGAAATGAATGGACATAAACAGAAATCATTCATTACAAACGCGAACGAGTCATCATGTTTAGGAATGCTTGAACCTAACGTAGTGATATGACTGGACAAGAACAGAAATGATTTGTTTAAAATTGAAACGATTCACTTGATTGTGTATTCATTCGTCTATTATTGTGTTGATTCATATAGTTCAAGTGAAATGGCTTGGTATATTTTGCAATGACTTAGCAGGTCGTATACAAGTGACACGTTCGGTTGGCAAATAATTCATGCTTTTTTAGAACCATCCGCTGTGTTTTAAAATAACTCAACTAAATACGAAATGATTCAACTAGATGGGGCGTGATTCAACCTCATGTGAAATAAATAAACTAAACGTGAAACGACTCAATGCAATCTGAAATCACTCAGTTAAATGCGACATCGTTCAACTAGATGTGACACGATTCAATACCATGTGAAATCACTCAACTAAATGTGAAATCATTCAACTAAATGTGAAATGATTCAACAAGATGTGAAATGATTCAACAAGATGTGAAATGATTCAACTAAATGTGATATGATTCAACTAAATGTGAAATATTCGTGTCCACGTGAACTGACACGACATGTTTTGAACTGACGTAATTTGTGCGGTCTTGGCACGTCTTGTTGTGAAGTGATTCATCAAGTTGTGAAGTGAATCAACAAGATGCTTCCGTCTTATTGATTAAACTTCCTTCGAAGAAAATTTACGGAAATCACAATGAAATTTGTCGGAATAAAATTTACATATGGAAATTCACCGCCCGAAATGAAAAATAACCATCGATCAAAGTCTTTTCCTCGACTCGCAATTCAACGTTATATCGCAAGATTTCCCAAGCTTTTGTGAATTGTGTGCGTTTTGCTGGAAAAAATATTTCTCCTCGAAGATCTCACTATAAAGATATGTATTTAAAGATTTATAATCTGTTTTTAACCAATATATATTCCCTTGATATTTCCTGTGTTGTTGTAATGTACTCAAGCCGAATATGATGCTTGTGAAGTTACTCTGAGTGTATATCCACACCGGGCAAACTTGAAAAATATGCCTGGCCTTGGTGGGAATCGAACCCACGACCTTTGGAATACCAGACCAATGCTCTGCCAACTGAGCTACGCGGTTCAATTAGGTTTGATTCCCACCGTCGGTAGTCAAGCATATTTTTCAAGCTTGCCCGGTGTGGATATACACTCAGAGTAACATCACAAGCATCATATTCACCTGAGTACATTACAACAACACAGAAAATATTGAGGGAATATAGGTCAAAAACAGATTATAAAATCTTTAAATACATATTTTATTTTTCACCCTGCTCGGTTTCCTTTGTTCCTATTGGGGAATATATTCAATATTCCCCTCTAATCAATTTCCGTTTAATAATCCCCTCTAATATTCACCTGCAATGTTTTTGCAGCACAAAAAATGAGAAGAAAAAAAACAACATAACGAAGGCAATATCGCAATAAGAATTATTTCTATTCTGGCTCTTTAACGCGACCTCGCAATGTGCAAAATAAAGTACGTTATTTTCAGGCACCTCGGGATATGTGTTCACCTCGTCGCTGCGCGCCTCGGTGAATAAATCACATATCCCCTCGTTGCCTCAAAATAACCGATACTATAAAGCTCCGTTTACACTACGCTCAATTTTTGGTACGGCACGGATAAAATTGGTACCCGTACCACTTTTTTGGTTCTTGGACTACCTATTTAGCTAAGCCCCGTTTACGCTACGCTCAATTTTTGGTACAGTACCACTTTTTGGTTCTTGGACTACCTAAATAGGTAGTCCAAGAACCAAAAAAGTGGTACGGGTGCCAATTTTATCCGTGCCGTACCAAAAATTGAGCGTAGTGTAAACGGGGCTTATATAGTGAGATCTTCGAGGAGAAATATTTTTTCCGTCAAAACGCACACAAAAGGTTGGGAAATGTCGCGATATAAAATTGCTATTTGCGAACGTTGAATTGCGAGTCGAGGAAAAGACTTTGATCGATGGTTATTTTTCATTTCGGGCGGTGAATTTCCATATGTAAATTTTATTCCGACAAATTTCATTGTGATTTCCGTAAATTTTCTTCGAAGGAAGTTTAATCAATAAGACGGAAGCATCTTGTTGATTCACTTCACAACTTGATGAATCACTTCACAACAAGACGTGCCAAGACCGCACAAATTACGTCAGTTCAAAACATGTCGTGTCAGTTCACGTGGACACGAATATTTCACATTTAGTTGAATCATTTCACATTTAGTTGAATCATTTCACATTTAGTTGAATCATTTCACATTTAGTTGAATCATTTCACATCTTGTTGAATCATTTCACATCTTGTTGAATCATTTCACATCTTGTTGAATCATTTCACATTTAGTTGAATGATTTCACATTTAGTTGAGTGATTTCACATGGTATTGAATCGTGTCACATCTAGTTGAACGATGTCGCATTTAACTGAGTGATTTCAGATTGCATTGAGTCGTTTCACATTTAGTTTATTTATTTCACATGAGGTTGAATCACGTCCCATCTAGTTGAATCATTTCGTATTTAGTTGAGTTATTTTAAAACACAGCGGATGGTTCTAAAAAAGCATGAATTATTTGCCAACCGAACGTGTCACTTGTATACGACCTGCTAAGTCATAGCAAAATATGCCAAGCCATTTCACTTGAACTATATGAATCAGCGCAATAATAGACGAATGAATACACAATCAAGTGAATCGTTTCAATTTTAAACAAATCATTTCTGTTCTTGTCCAGTCATATCACTACGTTAGGTTCAAGCATTTCTAAACAGGAAGACTCGTTCGTGTTTGTAATGAATGATTTCTGTTTATGTCCATTCATTTCACACGTGTAGTATTTTTGGTGGTAACGGCCGCCCATACCATTCTATTTGTTGATAAATCATTCGCAGTACGTATACTATTGTTGAGAAATCACTCGCGCTACAAACGTTCTTGTATTTGTAATGCCTAATGGCGCAATAAGGATAAAAATACCACCGTTCTATTCAGCGTAAGAAATTGTACTCACGGATGTCAAATGTATTACAAAACGGCAGTATTCTAGCGAGTTATGGCCTTTGAAAATCAAGCGAAATTGGTCAAATTGTATTGTTAACGTAATTGTTGACAAATAGCTCGCAGTACGTTTCATAGTGTTTTCTAATGGCGCCATAAGGATATATCCACCGTTCCATTCAGCGTTAGAAATTGTACTAATTACGGATGTCAAATGTATTACTAAACAACCGTATTCTAGCGGATTTATGGCCTTTGTCTTTGAAAATCAAGCGAAATTGTGTTCTTGATAAATCGCTCAAAATTATTAATTAAACTAATTATAAAAAATACAGTACGTTTTATCCTTGATAACTTTGGTATCATTGGTTTTCTCTTTTTCGGCCGTATACCAGTGGATTCGTCTCTATTTGAGCTCAAAAATATGTTATTTTGAACGTTTTAAAGCGCAGTTTAATTAATCCTAGGCCAAGCGTACGGACCAACTGGTGGCTGACAGTTCTTGAAGAAGGATTGCAGCGTCCTAAATATAACTCAACCTTGCAAGCCAGGGTCTTTCAGCCGTAACTTTACTTGTAGTGTAGGGTAGGGTAGGGCCTACCGCATTTTAGTACTGTGTTAAGCCTTTCGCGCTCGTTTTCGACTTTTCCGCTATGTATTGGTGTGTGATCATGTACAGTAATGTGCTATTTGTATAGCCCCAGCGAGTTAACGCTCCGTAGAGCGTCTTGTTTATATTAGAACCCAAGCTTTCAAATTTCCACGCGGAATTGCTATGTCGCGTCCATGATTTCCGCGTGAGCATTTGAAAGCTTGGATTTTAATGAAAATATATGTAGCGGATTTCTAGTTTTACCTGTTTTGCGCATGCTCAGGACCAGGCTTTTAGCCAGGATCCTAAAAGAGGGCGTCCAATTTTGGTACCACGATACATCTACAGTTAAGGGGGGGG